GGGAAAATTAATCACTACTAAGACTATTACCCTCTCAGATATTCATTGGAAAGGCCTTAAAATTTATGACCAGGTAATAGGCCTTTATTAAATTCTCTACTTTCGAACCCTCTGCAGAGGGAATCTTAACTGTATCACTTTCCTCCTGGGCAACTCCCGCCCCCTTTTTGATGAGATGTTGTAACAAAAACCACTTCATTTTTCACATGCCTACTGTAGGCACCTATTGTGCAACTCAAGGCTTAGGAACCTAAATTTCTTAACAGAGCATATTTAAGGATACTTCAGAATGCCTAAGTCAGACTTTGAGAACAAGGTAACTAAAATAAACAATTCTGAAGCTTTCTCACAACAATATACTACACCTAAAATCCCTTAATTAAAATCTACCCATTGCCTACCTCTAGTTCTTCAATAGTTGTATTCTCCTCATGGACTTTCAAGTCATTCTGTGAGTCATCTTCTCCTGCTTCCTGACCTCCTACAATTTCATTCAGATACTGCTGGTCAATCTTATCCAAAGCAGCCTTTAGGTCATTTCTCAGGCCCTAGAAAAGATTAAAAATTACTAATTAAAAAAAAAAATAATTAAAAAACACCTCCAGTAAACAAAAGCAGTTTAGTACTGTCACTGTGAGCATCCCAGACTCTGTTTAAGGAAAGCCAAATTCTGTTTAAAAACATGCAGAAAGCTTTAGCTTCATTGTCCGAATTTAAACCAAATTCAAAGAACAGTTTCCAGATTGCTTCAGCACTTCACAAAAACCAGGTGCATGAACTTCTGCAATATTCACACCTTTTATTTTTACCATACTTCCACCAGAAAAGCACAGAGGACTATCGACTTCTAGGACTTTCTTCAAGACATTTTGATGCAAGCAATGCACTGAGTCACCCCAAACAAACAGAAAACAGACCATAACCACCATCAGCTCTAGAAATCTTCACATCTGCCCTGAAAAAAGCTGTAAATAAGGCAAGTAACACTCCTTCAGTACTATCACATAAAACATTTATGACATTTCCTTTTATTACCAATGACTTAAACATAGCAGAGTGTTTTATACAGGCATAGGGTTTAAAATCCCCTACTCTAGAATAGTTGGCTAAAAAAAAAAAAATCAGTTTGAAACTATATATATATATACACTTAGGAGCTGCTTTTAAATAGAACAAGAAACGTGGCTTAGTCACAGTTGGAGGCCTTGCATTCTTATCTTGAGACATAAAATATAAAGCTCTGTAAAGGAGTATGACATATTTTACCCTAAAATAAATTCAACCACTCCACTGGGAATAGATATGCACAGTTACTTCCCCTCTTCCATCATTCTATTTGACTGTTGGGAACACTTCTATTAATCATTTAGCAGTCTAAAAATGTCTGAACCACAAACTGGCTACACTGACTACCTACATTTTTAGCAACATGTAGTAAGAGGAGTGAATGAAACACATAACACAAAAATCCAACACAACTCTATGTGTGAGCTCAGCATTTCCTAATAATCCTACTACTTTTGTCCATGTCACTGCAGGGGAAGCTTTAGTTAGCAGATTTTTTTTTTCATTTTTTTAAACACTTAGATCTGTCTTAAAGAAAAAAAAAAGAAAAAAAAAAGACTTGACCAAGGAAAGGTTTTCCTCTTCTGGGTGGCCCGAGCAAAGACTTCTCAAACAATTCTGTTTGTCACAAATTAGGGAACAAAACGCAAATCACCACTCTCTTATCTGGGTTGCAAATTTGGTTAACAGTGAATGCAAAACAAATCCCAACAAATCTCCTCCAATTCTTAAGACAAAAGGAATAAATCAGTTTACTATGATATGCCTCTTAGTCATTTTTTTAATTGATGGCTACTACAAAGGAGAAGTTTCCACAAATTACAGCCCCTGAATCAAGGGATTTGAGAAAATCATTTATATACCAGAAAGGCAGGATGCAGTCCTCCTCTTACTTACCTGCACCTTCTCAAAGATGCGTATAATCGCAACACAGGGTAGTTTTAAGAGCCAATGACTGTCTTCTCTGCTGGTTACAAAGCAGGTAACAGCACAGGCTGGGGTAGCGCTGCCTCCTGGAGGCAGGGCCTAGAAGGTTTCTGGGGCTGAAGTGTCTAGCATAAGAAATCGTAACTGTGTGCAAACCTGACATTTAGCATACCTTCTCAGGCAATAAATGAGGTGGAGCAGCTACTTCTCTTTGCTCTGTACTATCCCTCCCTCCTGAAAATTAACAGAAACTGAAACTCGAACAGCATTCCTCATTGGTTAGCCCAGCAGAAATCAGTACCTATTCACTAACCAGTCTTACCTTGTTCACTTCAGGGGCAAGAATTTCTATCTTCCTCAGACGTTGAAAGGCATCATAATCTGTTTCTCCAAACAGCCTGATGGGCTCAGCCCTCTCTCGTAACCTCCTGATAACCTGCAGAGAATCAAAGCGCTCTCTTCGTAAAGGAAGCAAAATAAAATCCAGGCCGATGGATTTATTTACTTTGCTTAGAATAACAAGCTGAGCTGGACTGGAAAGGAAACGGCAATATTTTAAGCAGCAGAAAAAAAACATTCCAGACACTTTACAATCTAAATATAAAATTCCCACGGTATTTCAGGGAAAGGTCATTCTAAATATTACCAATCTAAATTTTACATAAAACCCCAAGCCGCTTGGTATAGCCTAACTTCTTCCTGCTCTGACTTGCTTAAACAAACATGTAAAAATCAACCCTCTGGCAGTGCTTAAAAACTGTTTTAAAAATCACAAAGGAACTTGACAATAACTTCACTCACCTACTTGTCCGGGGCAATAAAAATACTCCCTGACTATGCTGCAGGTTGTCCCAGAACATCTGCAACACTGATTTGCTGAAAATTCTCATCCTTAAGCATTTGGTAAATATTAACTCCCATAATCTAAGGTGATAGTTAAGACTAGATATAAGAGAGGTACAACATCCTCCCTTCAATGGTTTGAGAAGTCATGGGCAAAGTCAAAAGCTAAACTTTACTCCCTTACACTTCATCTCATGCCACCACTTCACCACGTGTTACAGACTAGACAAGACGACATTAATTCATTTATTCAGTTCAAGTGTCTTGATGCATTGTCATACACTCCTGTAAAAATCAGTCAGTGTCTCGAAAATTAAGGATGTGATATCCTTGGATGATCTCAGCTGTCAATTTTGGTACTACCAAGATTAGAATTTATTCTGCACTTCCAAACTTCCTGCTTCTCTTCTGCTCTGGGGTATAGATCTGTTTGTGAACACACATTCACAAAGTTATTTTAAGGCTTACAAAGGACAAAGAACACAGCAGCTGCTCTGGCTTCAGGACGTTCTTCTAGAAACCAAAGTGAACTGCCAAAACTTAGTTTCTAAATTTGGGTTCAGACCATGAGCTACAAAGAAAAGAGGCTGGGGGGAAAAAAAAACTTGGGAAGACACAGCATCTTTAGTATTATTCAAGGATATTATCTAAGGATAATACTAATAACTCAGGGTACTATTCTAGAAGTCATCTGAAAGAGCTGCACAATGTTACAGAGCATCAGTGCAAACCCACGTGACAAAGAGGCTCTACCCATCTGCACATTCCTGGGCACTCAGTTGGAGCGCAGATCCTCGATGAGCGAAGATGATCACTGTAGAGCATAAAACTAGAGGCCTACTGTTTTATACAAACTGCCATAGGAAGTACACCGTGCTAGAAAAAGCAGCCCCAACGAGACATTTCAGATGCATCTGCTGTAAAATCAAGTAGTCTGTTTACAATGACTCATTTTACCTCCTGTCTGGAAAGGGTCATTGGTAACTTCTCTTCCGCCAGTTCCAGTTCCAGCACTGGATTTGATGAAGTCACTGGTTTCTCCTCCTCCTCTTGCTGCTGCACCTACATACAACAGACATAGGTACTAATGTGCCAACAGAGACAAACCCATGTATCGATCTCGATGTAAAGACACAGGAACTCTAGAACACGGACTGTAATACAATATAAAATTTAGTTTCATAGTTTTTATTGTCTAGAATTGAATTTCAGAGAACAATAAAAGCTCTGAGAAGTACCAGCATGTATCTAACAGTTCTGCATGTGGCAGGAAGCAGTCTCTACAGCAAACAGAACGGACAATTGCTGAAGTTTGGCAATCACTTGAGCAGGCAGGTGTCAGCACTGGTGCCAAAAATAGCAAATTCACCCTCTGCTTGTTGATTCCTGCCCCTGCTCAGTCCTCCTTACCCATACAAAAGCATTTGCATCACTGTGATGAACCAGAGGCGGGAGGGAGAACGACTGGAACTGAAAACAACACAGCAAACACAAAAGGGACTTCCCAGCCCACTTCATCTCCCCATCCAGCTCACCAGGCACAGCACATGCACGGACACAAGGGCAGAAATGAGAACCCAAGGGCAAGAAGAGAGCGGGGCTGCTGCTTTCAGTGGCGGCATTGGCTAAAAACGTTTCTCACCTACAGCTGCAGTGAGCTGCGCACAGTTAGCAGTGATCCACAGCTTCTACTGGGGTTTGAGAGGTGCTTGTTTACGGTAACACGCATTTGTAACAGACCTGCCAGTTTCTTGGGGGTTTAAAAAAGCCACCTACAACTCCTCATAAGGATAGGTTCTCTTCTTAAATCTAAAAGAAGGTCCCTGAATCAGTCAGAGCTTTCTTTCCTTATTACTCACTATTTTAATAATGCAAAACAACTCTTTGATCACAGTAACTGAGACAGTTGTCATGTAACTAGAGTCCCTTTATAAGCTCAGATTTGACACTTTTGGCAGCAGGAGCAGATCTACTGTTCATAATATTTCTACAATACGGACGCATTTCCAGTACTCACTCACATCTTGTTTTTTCCCTAGATTCCTTACGAGAATTTAATTTGTTTCCATACTTGCTAAAAGGGAAACGCTCCACTTAATCCTATAGGCCCGTGTATGGGGCAGGACATTGTCATTTCCAGTCTGTATTGGGGTTGATCAGTCTGATGAACATAGCAGACATACTTTTAAGAAGTTTTTTCTACTCTTCCGGACCAACGTGCCAGTCTTGTGCTCCAGTGTCAGTAAGACTCCGTGCAGGTGGAAGGATCCAGCCTGTGGATCCAGCTACAGGATTACACCACAAATATATACTCAGTGCTGTCCCAGCCAACACAGAAGTTGATCCTACATCCACAAGCGTTTGGACCAAGCAAGGGAAGGACAATCAAATCAGTGCTTAACACATAAAGGGAAGGAGAAAATAAAACTTCTGTTGATGCAGGAAAGGGGAAAATGGACAGGGGACAGAAAATATGGAAAAACTGTGTAAAATACATAAAGAAATACACTGCCATGGCAAAAGGATATGTACAAATTTTAACTTACAAACATTCTTGAAATCATAAAGAGACAGCAGCATTGGGGGAAAAGATTCGATCCATTCTGTCAGCTGGACTCCAAGTTACAAGCGATGTATTTACCACAGTTATTTTGGTTTCAGTCAAATTATTACAACTTATTAAATCTAAGCAAAGCAAAAAAGTACCTGAATTTAAAAAGAAATCAGTCTATATTCTATATATAAATGCAGTAAAGACTAAATGCAGAAATCTGGGAGGCTCTGAAAAGGTATTAAATTTAAAGAAGCAACTTATTTTAAAACCGTTCTCAGGGTTACATTTGAAACCAAAAGTGGTGCTGCAGCAGCACAGGTAATGGCACTTTAACCGCCCCGTAAGGTTCTGAAGAACTCCA